TGGGCACATTGAGCGGCATAGTGGCCCGGCTCTCCGCACTCGTAACATACCTTCTCGTTCTTTCCTGAGCCGCCGCGCTGCGGCGCTGCGGCCGCGTTGGCCTGAACCATGGGCGCTATATGGCCCTTCTGCGGTGGCGACCGGCAGTTCCTGGCGATATGACCTGTCTTGCCGCAATTGTGGCATACGCGGTTGTCTACGGGCCTGTCGACGGCCGTCGACCTAGCGGGTGCACCACGTGCTGCATCATGGGTGCTCGGCTGCGACGCTGAGCTCCAGAGCGCTTCGGTGCATCGCTTCTTCTCAAGGCGGATTGCCACTCGGCTGATCTGATCGACTGATAAGTCATCGTCGCCTGTATCCTCGGCCCAAACGACCCGTCGAACCTCTGCGCGGAACGGCTTCGGCTCGATCGCATCTAGCAGCTTCTGGGCGGCCATGCCCTCGGGCCTCTGTAGGACCGTCATGAGCGTCTTCATCCTCTGCGTGAGGCTCGACATGCTCTCATTCGGCTGCATCTTGAAGGTGTTGAATTCGTTGATCCGGGCAGTGGACTTCTCTGGAAAGAGGTCCTTGATCATGGCCCAGAACTGCTCGACTGGGCTATCGTATACCAGGAGGGCCTTCGGCCGCTCTGGTTTGACCGGCTCGGGCAGGGCCGCGCTCTCGGTCGCTTCCATCGCATCATATCGCTCATGCTCCCGTTCATATTCGGCGAGCTCGCGCTCGTATGCACGACGGCGCGCTTCATTCCGCTTATCGAGATCGTCGGCCATGCGAGTCTCTAGCTCGCCGGCGCGATCGCGAGCCTGACCGGCGGTCAGCTCGACGAGGAAGTAGAAGTAGTCATTCTCATCCAAATTCTCTAGATTATTGCGCAGCTTAAGCTTTGACATCATCGTTTTATAGCTTTGTCGCAGATGTGATACGCTCATCCCGTCTGGTCCGCCGGTAAAGCGGCCAGCGCCATGCGGCACATGTGTGCTATCCATGATGTCGTCGGTTTCCACAACCCAACTCACAGGATTTTCGTTATTGCGCAATACACTCAAATGCGACGGCGACGCAACAGTGGAGCTCTCAACAATATAATCACTGCCCGTGGCCACAATATATGCCTGGGACGAACTCCCGGCGTCACTCTCAACGGTACTCTCAACTCTATCCACCTGCCGATGAGGTAGGTTTCTAAAGTTGTACCTGTGCATCCGCCTAGCTACTCCTAGCGCCCCAAGCGCTTAAGCTAGCTAGCAGTCGCGGCACACTACTCTCACTCCCCCCTGCCGCGACCTCCGTTCTGGTCACGGTTACGGCGCTCTCCGTCGTCGTTGCGGTCACGCCCGCGGCCACGGCCACGGCCACGTCCACGCCACCCGCCTCCACGTCCGCGCTGGTACTCCTCGCGATCGTCCCAACGGCGGTCTCTGCGGCGGTCGTCTCTGTCACGACGGTCGTCCCTGTCGCGGCGCTCGTCCTGGCGGCCGTCACCTGGATCCACACAGAGGGGAAACGGATCAGTCTTACTGGCGAACTCACTTCAAAAAGGGTTCAGCGCACAGACTCTCACGGGCGGACTCACTTTGCAGAGGTCCAGCACCAAGAATGTAACCAAGGGTTTCGGCTAACCCCAAACCTAACGGGCGCACAATTCCAAAAAGGACGTGCTGCACACTCGGGCGAACTCCCTTCGAAAAGGTTTCTGCCTCAGGACCGCGAACTCCCTTAGGGCAAAGGTTTCAGCGGGTCCTAGTAGTCGTTGTC